AAAATATCATTTTTTTTATGATCAATGCATTTTAATTTCATACTCTGACATAACAATGTCAATTTATGAAAATGATATAAAATCATGTCGATATAAACAAGGTCGACTTATCGCAAGTCTTCCTAATGATGTATACAACATCCATGTATAATTTCATGCATGTATTGCACTCACCTTGACACTTTATATAGTCCACAATATGATCCTCACTAATTGTCCACAATATCTCTTTTATACTTGATTTGCTTCAATCACACTTAACTCAAAATCTGTATAAAATCACAATTCATAACAATACTTATGTTAGTATTATACTAACATAAACACATCCCATAAAAATTCCATAATATACTTGGAACTCATTTTCTACCAAGTATTTCACACTTAATAATTCCTTTTAACGTTTCCACTAACTTTTCCAATTACTTAAAATGGTCCTTCACCATTTTATCACATACAATCATTTAAATTTCAAATCAACAACAATTTCCATCATAGTACATCAATTATAAAACACTTATACAACAACCCCTCTATTTTCCAGAATTTACGAATTAATCTCCAACTCTTCAAAAATTACAAAATAGTCACTAAATTTTCCAAAGCTTGTAGAATACTTGAATATGAATCTACAACATATAAATCATCAAGATTTATCATCAATTTCATGAATCCTATCATGAACATAAACCCTTAGATTTGGGATCTTTGAAATTCCACAAGATTAGAAAGCAATATTGGTACCAAATGATAGAGTTTTTCACTTAGATCACTTTCCTATCTCACAACATAACTCCATTTCCAAAGGAATTAGCTCAAAAATTGAAAAATGAAATATTTCCTTACCTTGAAAGCTTTCACACGTCCATGGAGAAGAGAAGAACACTTTGGCATGATATGTTTGATTGATATCATGCTTATCATCCTTTAAAAACAATTATTTAAGTCATTTACTTGGAAAATACCAATTTACCCTTAATAAAACTTTATAATCACCATTAAACCAAGATACATATCCTTATCATCTTTAAAATCACTTAAATATCATCCTTGTCATCTTTCAATATTCAAAGATGAACAAATTAGTTTTCCACTTTACCATTTTGCCCTTGAAATTTCCAAAATTTACAATTCAGTCACTTTAATCAAACAATCTAAATTGAACATGAAATTAAACCATTAAATATTATTTCCCAAAATTCTTAAAATGTGAAAATAATATTTTTTATTTCTTATTTTCGTGACACATTTGTAATTTTTCCAAAATTACATTTTGGTCCCTAAACTTTTCAAAGTTTATACTTTGGTCACTAAACTTTACCAAATGTATATAATTTGATCACTAAATAAATCCATTTATGGAATAACATTCTTTTTGATAAAATTACCACTTAATTCCTTAAACTTTTCCCAAATTTTCTACTTTGACAATCAAACTTTCAAAATTTACATTTTGATCATTATCTATGTTTTTGGGGTTTTATAATTCTTCCCTCCTTAAATAAAATTCGTCCTCGAATTTTAAGAAGAACCTGATATGAAGAGGTGTGGGAACTGTTTTCTCATGTCCTCTTCTCTTTCCCACGTAGCTTCTTCAACTTTATGATTTTGCCAAAGTACTTTGACTAGAGGAATCGTCTCGTTACGTAGTTCTTTAATTTCTTGAGCTAAAATCCGAACTGGTCCTTCTTCATAAGTCAAATCTGGTTGAATCTCGATTTCTTCTGATATAATAACATGTGAAGGATCTGATCGATACCTTCTAAGCATTGACCCATGAAAAACATTGTGTACTTTGTCCAACTCTGGAGGTAATGCTAACTGATAAGGCACCGGTCCAAGACGCTTTAAGACCTCATAAGGTCCAATAAATCTTGGACTTAGTTTCCCTTTTCGTCCAAAACGAAAAATCTTTTTCCAAGGCGATACTTTAAGAAAAACTTTATCACCTTCATGAAATTCAATCTCTTTTCGTTTCAAATATGCATAAGACTTCTGACGATCAGCTGCAATCTTGAGATTATCTTTAATTATTTTCACTTTATCTTCAACCTCCATCAATAAATCAGGACAAACCAGATTCCGATCTTTTAACTCGAACCAATTTAATGGTGTTCGACATTTTCTCCCATATAAAGCTTTGTAAGGAGCCATCTTGATGCTAGATTGGTAGCTGTTATTGTAAGCAAATTCTGCTAAAGGCAAATACTTTTCCCATGATCCTTCGGACTCAATTACACATGCCCTCAACATATCCTCCAATGTCTAAATAGTCCGCTCAGACTAACCATCCGTCTGTGGATGAAATGTCGTACTAAAATTCAATCGAGTACCCAAAGCTTTATGCAAAGAATTCCAAAATCTTGAAGTAAACCTTGGATCCCTGTCAGATATGATTGATACTGGCACTCCATGTAGCTGAATTATCTCTTTGATATACAACTCTGCATATTTTCCAAGGCATAGTCCATTCGCACCAGAATGAAATGTGTCGATTTAGTTAACCGATCAACTATCACCCATATAGAATCCTTTTTATTTGATGTCAATGGTAGCCCTGTAACAAAATCCATAGTAACTCTCTCCCACTTTCATTCTGGAATAGAAATTGGTTGTAACAATCCCGAAGGCACCTGATGTTCAGCTTTCACTTGCTGACACGTCAGACATATAGCAACAAATTCAGAAATGGCTCTTTTCATACCCGGCCACCAAAATCGACTCTTAACATTATGATACATTTTGCTTCCACCTGGATGCATAGTCAATGGACTATAATGTGCCTCAGAAGAATATCTTTCTTCAACTCATCATCATGTGGAATATAGATTCTTCCTCGATAATACAGACATCCATCCGATTTGACTTCAAAGTCTTTAGTCTTACCTTTTCCCACTAGAGAAATCTTTTCCAAGCATCTGCCATCTTTCTTTTGTAGCTCTATTATCCGATTTGAAAGCATCGGCTTTATTTTTAATTCAGCCAACAGTGCGCCATTTTCTTTCAACAATAGTCGCACATCCATAGCTCGCAAAGCTGCAAAAGAAAGATGGCAGATGCTTGGAAAAGATTTCACTAGTGGGAAAAGGTGAGACTAAAGACTTTGAAGTCAAATCGGATGGATGTCTGTATTATCGAGGAAGAATCTATATTCCTAGAAATAGATTCTAAAAAGATTCCTCTATCTCTTACCAGTTTTGTACTTATATAAGAGTATGTAGAACCGGGATCAATCAATACAAAAACAGGTTCGTCAAAGAGATAAAAGGTACCTGCTACAATCTCAGGAGCATCTCTATCATCATCAGTCTTGATATGATAAACTCTTGCAGTAGTTCTGTTTTCACGATTAGATGCAGTCTCAGATGTACCAGGTTTACCCATTTTTCCACCTCTACCCCTCTGAGGTCCCGATACTGTCTGATCTGGATTTAACTTTGGACAGTGCCTTTTGAAATGACCCTCTTGCCCACAGTTATAACATTTTCCTTCAGCAAACCAACATTGACCAGAATGTCTCCTTCCACAAAACTTACACTCTGCAGCAGGACGAAATCCTGATCCTTGAGTACCCACCGAAATTGCATGTGTCTGTCTGAACTTTCCTCCAGAAAATCCTTTTCTGCCCATAGATACTGAGGAAGAATAACTTTTCTGCTGCTGAACCTTGTTGCATTTGGGAAAGGGTGCAGAGTAAGAGCTTCCAAACATTTTATTTGTCTGAACCTTCTTCGCCTTTATATCTTCAAGATCAACTTTTTCCATAGCTTTAACCTTGTTTACCACTTCTTGAAAAGCAGTAAAATGATGAGAAACCAGAATTCTCTTATACTGAGAATCCAATCCAGAAACAAATCTATCAATTCTAGATTTCTCAGTTGGAATAAGCTCCAAAGCAAACCGACTCAGCTTGTGAAATTCACATTCATACTCATAAATTATTTTGCCGGATTGCTTTAAGTTTAGGAACTGTTGCATCATCTCATTGACAAACACGTCCCCAATATACTTTTCTTTGAATTCCCTCAGAAAGAATTCCCATGTGATCTGCTCAGTGGAAACTCGTGCGACGACTGTATTCCACCACACACTGGCTTACTCCATCAGTAGAGACACAACCCCTTCCAACTTTCCTTGATTATCACAAGAAATCTTGTTGAGCATATTCTTGACATCGTTCAACCAGAAGTCAGCAGCCATCAGATTAGCATCCGAATCACCTCGAAATTCAGGTGCTCTCATCTTTCTCAGTTCTTTCGGAACTGACACTGGGGTTCGACGATTGATAATGGTGTCTAGGGCTTGTAAAAACAACCCCCGATCTTGAACAGACATATCCTGTTGATTCAGATTAGACAGCTCTACATTCGGCTGAGCATTGGGTGAATTCTGATTCACCTCATTACTCCCACTCTGTACAGGAATAACATGCTCACCTGCCCTACTCGATTCTTGATGATCTGACATCTGAACACAGTCAAAATCATCGTACTTTAGTAAAGAGTAACTTTACTCCTAATAAGCATCATCACAGTGTATATACAACTATCAGTAACTTTTCACATCCTAGTGGCATGTATACAATTTTTAACTCAAAACAAACTCGTTTTAGTCCTAGAATAGGTTAAACCTGTAACTCTGATGCCAATAAATGTCACACCCATAACCCGTATAAGTATACCTATACAGATTATAAATGTCACCTTAATTTCTAAAACATTTCCTTTTCAAAATTGATTTAAAATTTAATTTCTTTAAAAATAGTAACTGATATTATAAAAATATCATATCATATAAATTATGTTTCGTTATAACAAATTTAATTCAAAAGATTTTTTTTATGAATAGTGATGAATAGTACCAGAAGAGGTTTTTGAATAAGGCGTGGGCACGGCTTATTCATTCTGAGATACTGCAGAAAAGGTTTTAAGTTAAGGCGTGGGCACGGCTTATTCATTCTGAGATACTGCAGAAAAGGTTTTAAGTTAAGGCGTGGGCACGCCTTACCAGTCTGTACAATCCATAAATTAATATTGATTTATGCTATCCACTTTTAAATAGAGTAGAACAATTTAGTTTAACCATTGCAAACCATTTATTTTCCAAATAGATCAACAAAGCAACTTAGTACATTAATAAGTACATGCCACTAATAAAATTAACATTACAACTTAGGATGTCTTACTGATATTGAAATATACTTCTTGATGCTTGACGTCTCTTTACACTCCTTATTCCACTACTGGCTTTTTACCTACGCATGAAAATCATCACACGCTAAGTATATACTTAGTGAGACAATTATAACAATAACAGTACAATACAGCTCATGCATGAATTTCATTGTCAAAAACAAATGCCATTAAATCATGTTATATACATGTCCAATATTTTACCATGATCAAAATAATATAAATTTTCTTAGCATTTATCACATAGGCTAATAATCTTTTTTTTTTATCAATATACTTGTCATTATTCCATATGCTCATAAGCTTATTTTCATACTTACCATTTATTTATCAATAAATCATAAAGCCATAAAATCATAAACAATAGCCCAATATACAACCCTGAGGACCCTGGGTATTCGAGTAATATTTGCACCGTAGTGCTACACATAAGGTCGTGCCCACTATATACACCAAAGTGTATTACACATAAGGTCGTGCCCACCATATACACCGAAGTGTATTACACAAAAGGTCGTGCCCATCATATACACTTAGTGTCCTTACACACTATAGTGTAGTATTAAACCTGCAGCTGTTATACTCTATGGCATGCCAACTATACCTTGTCCCTCAATGACTTACTTGGGCATATAGTCTATTTTATTTGATCCAACCATGGCAAAGTATATTATCAAATTTAACATTGGGCAGTTCATACCCGAAAACATTCATGGTAAAATATCATATTTTTTTATGATCAATGCATTTTAATTTCATACTCTGACATACAATGTCAATTTATGAAAATGATATAAAATCATGTCGATATAAACAAGGTCGACTTATCGCAAGTCTTCCTAATGATGTATACAACATCCATGTATAATTCCATGCATGTATTGCACTCACCTTGACACTTTATATAGTCCACAATATGATCCTCACTAATTGTCCACAATATCTCTTTTATACTTGATTTGCTTCAATCACACTTAACTCAAAATCTGTATAAAATCACAATTCATAACAATACTTATGTTAGTATTATACTAACATAAACACATCCCATAACAATTCCATAATATACTTGGAACTCATTTTCTACCAAGTATTTCACACTTAATAATTCCTTTTAACGTTTCCACTAACTTTTCCAATTACTTAAAATGGTCCTTCACCATTTTATCACATACAATCATTTAAATTTCAAATCAACAATTTCCATCATAGTACATCAATTATAAAACACTTATACAACAACCCCTCTATTTTCCAAAATTTACGAATTAATCTCCAACTCTTCAAAAATTACAAAATAGTCACTAAATTTTCCAAAGCTTGTAGAATACTTGAATATGAATCTACAACATAAATCATCAGATTATCATCATTTCATGAACCCTATCATGAACATAAACCCTTAGATTTGGGATCTTTGAAATTCCAAGATTAGAACCAATATTGGTACCAAATGATAGAGTTTTTCACTTAGATCACTTTCCTATCTCACAACATAACTCCAATTCCAAAGGAATTAGCTCAAAAATTGAAATATTTCCTTACCTTGAAAGCTTTCACACGTCTATGGAGAAGAGAAGAACACTTTGGCATGATATGTTTGATTGATATCATGCTTATCATCCTTTAAAAACAATTATTTAAGTCATTTACTTGGAAAATACCAATTTACCCTTAATAAAACTTTATAATCACCATTAAACCAAGATACATATCCTTATCATCTTTAAAATCACTTAAATATCATCCTTGTCATCTTTCAATATTCAAAGATGAACAAATTAGTTTTCCACTTTACCATTTTGCCCTTGAAATTTCCAAAATTTACAATTCAGTCACTTTAATCAAACAATCCAAATTGAACATGAAATTAAACCATTAAATATTATTGCCCAACATTTTTAAAATGTGAAAATAATATTTTTATTTCTTATTTTCGTGACACATTTGTAATATTTCCAAAATTACATTTTGGTCCCTAAACTTTTCAAAGTTTATACTTTGGTCACCAAACTTTACCAAATGTATAATTTGATCACTAAATAAATCCATTTATGGAATAACATTCTTTTTGATGAAATTACCACTTAATTCCTTAAACTTTTCCCAAATTTTCTACTTTGACCATCAAACTTTCAAAATTTACATTTTGATCATTATCTATGTTTTTGGGGTATTACATTAAAACTCAAAACACAAAAATACATTATGCATATTCAAGCATTTGCAAAAATAGGAACATACACATTCATTTGGCATCAAGTTTTGATTGTCTGAGAGAAATTTAGGGAGTCAACAAAGATTTCATGAGGATGAAGGATCAGTCTATATTTTCTTTTACCGTTGAAGGAAATTGATCGCAAGAAAATTAAGGTCCATCTGATCATTACCTCCAGGTACTTTAAATGCAAATCAATAACATATGATAATCTTTTACAGGTTTAAAACTCTTCAAAGAGAAGATAAACCAATCAACATTTCCAGTGGAGAGTTCATAATGAGAATAACTCATCCGATAGAGGGAGAAGAAGTTCATAATGAGAAGAACTTGTTCAACCTTTGCTCGATTCATCGCATATGGAGTTGAATCAGCGATGCCTCACTTAAAGGATTAAAATTTCTAGTAGAGAGTTTATAATGAGAAGAACTCATCCGATAGAGGGAAAAGAAGTTCATAATGAGAAGAACTTATTCAACATTTACTTGATTCATCGTATATAGAGTTGAATCAGCGACGCCTTACTCGATGTATTAATATTTCCAATGTAGGGTTCATAATGAGAAGAACTCATCCGATGAGGGAGAAAAGTTCATAATGAGAAAAACTTGTTCAACCTTAGCTCGATTCATCAAATTTTGGAGTTGAATCAGCGATGCCTCACTCGAGGGATCAACATTTCTAGTAGATAATTTGTAATGAAAAGAACTCGCAGCTTGAAGAATAGGGACTGAGTTAAAAGATGGTGTTTTGTGTGTCTTTGCTCTATTCTCGTTTCACTGCAATGAGCAAAGAGGGGCAGTTGTAATCATCATTTTTCAATCTACCTATATATTATTAATAATATTATTATATTATAATTATTATTATTATTTACAAAACAATAACCCAATACATATATTACAAGCCCAAAAGAGAAAAACACGGGCCCCTTTACAAAATAAAACCCATACCCGAAATATCCAAAACAGAACTCACCCGGAGTCCAAACCAAACCCGACCTGGAGCCTAACATAAACTAAACCTAACCCTAGTGTAGCCGCCCAATAACCACATCATTTTTCGCCGATCTCTGCACCAAGCAAATGAAGACCGCTCCAACATGCCACCACCCAGCACTCCACGCTACCCGCAGAGACAACAAACAAGCAAAAAAATTGTAATGATTTTCTTTTTCTGCAATTGGTATAAAAACCCAAAGCAAACCATGTACAAGGGATCTTTTGGTTCCTATTTTTTCGATAAGCAATACAAGGCAAAGAAAATTTGAAGGTGATTTCCTTCTTTTTTTAAGGTTTCGAGTACATAAAAAATTAGTTTCGAATAACACTAAGCAAAAAGAAAAAAATTTGTTTCAAAAAAATAGTGAACACAAAAAAGGGCCTTAGTTTCGAAACACAACCGAAAAGAAAAAAAAGAAAATTTTTAAAGTTTCGAAAAAAAACAACAACAACTAAGCTTTTTCGCAGTGAAAAAAAAAGAAAAAAAAAGAAGATGGTAGATCCGATTTTACCTGAGTCATAGGGGGCTTCGTCGAATGTCACTGGAGTTGGGAAAACCGAAAGGTCAAGGGGGTTTTCGGGCTATTATGGAGTTTTTTTTTTGGTATTTTTAGCCCTAAGTAGGGGCCTAGGTTAGTACAACTAGATGTTTGGTTCATTTTAGGGTAGTTTAGGAGTTTCGACCACCGCGTGTGGCGACCAGAACAGTGGTCGAACGGCGACCAGAGCGGGGTGTGAGGCGGCCGACAGTGGGCCGACAGATGAAGAGAGTTAATAGGGGAGAAGTTTTTGTTGTTTTTTGTGTGTTTTCGGTGTAAAATGAAAAAAGAAATAAAAATAGTATATATAGACAAAGTTTAGGGTAAAATCATGCTTAGGTCCCCCTATGTTTAGCGCATTTTTATGTTTTGGTCACCTATAGGGACCAAATCTATTCTTTTTCCTTTTCCTTTCATATTATATAATTTTTGGTCTATTCACTGTTTATTCCCTCTAACTTTAGCGTGCTTTTGCATTCTGATCATCTGTGAGGACTGAAACTAGGGTGTGCAAAATTACCCGACCCGGTTGACCCGACCCGCCGACCCGCCGACCCGGATATAAAAAACCGGGTAATTCTCTAAAAAAAATTACCCGGCCGGGTCGGGTACCCGGCCCGACATTTCCTGGGTCGGGCCCGGGTCACAAAATATAGTTTTTCCGGGTACCCGGGTACCCGAGTACCCGGTTAGTTTTTATTTTTTTTTTATTTTTTATATATAATTATATAAAATATAATGAATTATTTATATTATGGATTATTATATTTTATATTTCGAACTTTTAAATTTTATGTTCGGATATTAGAGTATGTAATTCGAAGTTTCGAACATTTAAATTTGTGTATATATTTTTTTAAATTAATAATTTGAAAATAAAAAATTAAAAATCGGGTATCGGGTACCCGATTACCGGGTACCCGCAAAATCCGGGTACCCGATTACCGGGTACCCGTAACATCCGGGTCGGGACACGGGCCGAAAAATCGTCGACCCGGAAGTTACGGGTACCCGGATTTGCACACCCCTAACTGAAACTGTTATTTTCCCTTTTTCTTGCA